TGTGCCATCTATTTGTTCCACGGCTCCTTGTACAAGCCTCCGCCAACTGAGAAGGAAACCCTTTCAAAGACAGAGAACCAGCATAAATGGAGTATTTGTCAAGTAGATTGGAAACACTCCAAAGCCACTGGAGAAGACAAACAGGAATTGAGATTGCCCGTTCTCCTCTCCACTGTGCTGTTCATCAAGAAGCCATGGAGAAGCGTAAGAGAGGCGTGCTGACATCGATGATGTTTTTGTGAGACAGCAATAGACAGGAAATCGTTTGGGAGAGTCGGGGATTGGAAGAATTCAGGTTCTTCATGGTTCTTCCAATGGGAGCTACCGTAAACATGGCTGCCCAGCTCGCTTTCCCTCAAGCTGGGCAGATTCAGACTTGGGACGTCAGTAAAAACTTTCAGAGCTTTCTCTCAGGTGGTCTTTGCCTTCATCATCGCCTTCACCTTCTACATCGGGAGCTCCATGGGGCAGCGGAAGCGCTCGCACCGTCAGGATTTCCTCCAAGAGCTGGGAAAGCTGAGCAATTCCATCACCAGTCAGCTGGCGGCGATTCGGACGTAGGGCCTACCTGGTGCTCCAAGGTGTAATATATATCATCCGTCGTTTTCTTTCGGTTGATAGGGCCTTATGGGTCACTCGCAGGTTTCGAGAATGAAGGCTTTTTCAGGTTCCTGGTCTTTTTGAGGCGGTTATCATTATTTGAATTCATTTGATTTATATAGTTGATATAGTTTAAGTTTACATGGATGATCAGAAGAAGGGCCAGGTGGCTTCAACTCTTTGATGCTGGCATGGTCTTGGGGTGGGCAAGTCATTCCAAACAAACGGGAAGAGAAAAACATCAACATTTCTACTAGGTGGAGGCCATAGGCCATTCTTCAGGTAGAACATATCCCCCTTTTCACTGGGCACTTCTGAAAGCCAAGCGGGAATCCACGCGACAGCCGACAGCCAAACCTTTTCCATCCTTGTCCAGTCTCAGTGCTGAAAGGATGGAATCTCCAAAAAGATACAATTGGGTACAAGCTGAAACGACTTCTTGACCCAAACCCGCCATGTGATCACCGAAGATGCCTGCCAAAGAAAGGGATTCATCACCCTGGCCCAGACATACTTACATATCTTGCATATAATTTACAATACATTTGACTCCTGGTGCCAGACACAACCCGTCGCCAGTGCTGTCGGTCGTTCTCTCCTTTCGACCGGACCGGACACGACCCGATGCTCCGACCTCCTCCGTCCACCGCATCGCGCGGCTCGTGTCGGGCGCGGTGGACGCGACGCGAGGTAAGAAGGTGTGCTTCCAAGGGCGTGAGCCCAGTAGTGTGCTGGAGGAGAATGGCGTGACGCGCTTGCTGCTGCGGGATTGGTGCAACGGGAACTTCAAGACTCAGTTCAACTTGAAGAGTACCATGACTGGGAGACGGCGCGGACAGAACGAGAATGGTGTTGCGATGTTTGGTGTAGAATGGTGTTGCGATGTTTGGTGTCTTCTTACAGTACGTTACTGCCCCATCAAAGGTGTGATGTGCCATGGATTGGATACCAATCGCTAGTTGAAACTATTGAGGAGATGAACCCAAGGAACATAAATCTATACAGACATAAATATACATTAATTATACATTAATATACTCACCCATATCATCCTGCCGGGGTCCGCTGAGTTTGCACCATCTCTCATGTACTACGGTAGCTTGGTTTGCCAACGCGGTGCTCAATTAAGGACTCCATGTTTTTGTGTCCATTTGTTTGCTGTAGTATAACTATACCCGAGTCTTCTGTAGGAACATTATTTTATCAGTTTCAAAAAGAATAGCGTTCTCCAGTGGAACGACAGTTCTCAGATGAAACGCAGCTTTTGGGTTGACGGCCCGCTGGCATGTGAAGATCATGGAGGAAGACGTCTCGGCCGACTGAGGCTTGCTCTGTCGTTTGCTCTGTCGACCTCTTCTGATGCAACCTTTGCTCGAACATCAGCTCAGCTCAGTTCTCCTTCGCCTCAGCATGGCTACGTTGGCTGCAACGCTTGAGGCTGAGGAAGTGGTGAGGTTTGGAGCCAGGGAGACAACCTGATCCTGCAGTGGCCGTCAAAGGTTCCATCAGTCAAGGCCATCCTGGTTAACGGGCCCACAGCCTGTTTAGAATGTGGACTCTCTCGGAGCACAAGACGCCATCTTTGAGAAGCTTCAGCAGGACCCTGTTCAATTGGCCGTTCTGTTGACGCAATGGCTTTGCTAGTGGCTTTGCTCTCTTCTTCCGATTTATGCTGCTGATGAGTCCGGTCAACGCCGCCAGCTTTTGCTTGCCATGCAGGGATGTGGCAACCATGGCCTTCAGTACTACAAGCACCTGCTTGATCACGGGCTGCTTCTCCCGCGAGCTTGTGCGGCTGCTTCACTGCAGTGTGGCCAGGCTTTCTTGGACAAGTACTGCCTCTTGGCTTACGTACCACAATCTACAGAGCCAATCCTTTGCAGCCTGGGCTATGGTGCCAAAGATTGATTTATTTCGACATTGCTTGCTGGACTTTGAGGTCATGTTGGCTGACCCCACAACGGAATACATAATTTCCCCTCTATGCTTTTCCTGTGAGATTGGAGAAGACCTCATAGGTCGCACTTGCAGACTTGCAGACTTGCTACAACTGTTGACTCAAGGTGTGCAACCTTGTGTTCTTGAACTTTACTTGATCAAAGCAAGGTTGCTTTGGAGACGTGCGTACCCGAAGTTGTGCGGCCTCTCCTGATCCAAAGCAGGTGTGCTGCGGAATCTGAAACGGAGGTTTTCATTTGAAACGGAACTTTTCCTGCGAAGCGATTGAAATAATTGCAGGTTGTCGAAACAGCTGAAATTTGTACCCACCAGAGGTTCCAGGTATATATCGATATATTAAAATATACAGGATTCAGGTGCTTTCCGTCCGGAAGCTTTGTATTTCCAGGCCTATGATGAGGGCTGAGGCCAAGTTCCCTCAACCCTCATGGCAGGCTTTCGCGCAGGCTTCACGCATGAAAGTGGTCCCAAAACTACCGTGCGATGTAAGAGCGATCTCCACATTGGAGCCAAAGCTGATCCCAAGCAAATTGGATCCTCAACACATGGGATCCCTTAAAAGCGTCCTTCATCCCAAATGAGATCGTCCAAAAGATGAGATTCGCCGGACGTGGCGCTTGCGGCGGGTTGAGGCTTTGATCATTGCATCACCCTGGCTGAGTTGGCGGACTTGGTGGTGCCCCCCTGGACTTGAAGGGGCGGACGGGTGGCCACAGTCCGTCGATGTGACAGGGACGGCATTGGCTGCCCCGGAAAATAATGTAGACTCTTGATTTAGTAAATCCTCCGTTTGAGTTGCACATCCTCTTCATAGGGGGGTTCATTATTCAAAAGTTTACTTATTGCACAGTGTTTTCATTTTTCAAACTGGATGGACTTGGAGACTGTTTTGGTGCCAGTAGAACGAAGGATGTCCTCCTTGCCTTGGAGGGACACATTCCTTCCCAGATCCCCATCCCGCCTGGTTCCCTCACGACCTCCCAACCAGATGGATCACACAGATTGACTGGGTATTTGCGGCAGATCGGGTGAGGATTTTGCCTCCCTAATGGGTGAATCCCGGTTCCCATTTGCAGAAATAGACACCGGCTCCTACAAATATAGACATATAAGAAAACCAACACAAGCATCCCTTCTGGGGAATATGTTGTAAAAATTCCATGTTTCCCCGGTTCCTAGTTCTTGGACGACTAATCCAAGCAGAGCCACAAAAAAAAATCGGTTTCCTGCTTAGGCAGAGCTCCCCCAGCATCGACACCACGCTGCGGCGCTATCGCTCCTGGCATTCAGCCGCTGGTTCGCTCGGCGGTTTTTCAGCGAGAGAGTGGCAGAGGATCATACAGAACTCCCACGTAACGGGGTATAGTCGACCAGTGGGGCCAAATCTATAGCCGACTACCCTACCCTACCCATAGGCCTACAGTAGGCCTATCCCTACCCGTGCCGCAGAGGATGGGAGGTGTGGGTTCCACTTCCAAGTTTTGTTGGACTGCCCGGTGGGGCTAGTGCTCACAGAAAAGAGATTGCTGAGCTGCTGAGGAAGGGAACACCAGGTGTTTGGACAATCAAGAGCATTTGTTTGTAAACATGTTGTTTTTTTTTTACAGATCATGGGTTCATTTAGACAAAATGTTTGCACTTGGCATTGAGAACAACAACATGTTGACCAAGATCCGTCACGATTGATTTTTGCATCCAGGTGTTTGGGACGAGATGTGCAGATGTTTGGGTCAGATTCAGCAATTTGGGCCAGGTTCACATGATGGACACCTAACGAACTCTGTGTTTCAGGTGAATGACAACAGGATATGAAAGCTCTCATTGAGAGCGAGCAGAAACACGAGTGATACGGAGCACCGGAGCACCCCACCGATCTGGACGTGGAAGATAGCAAAGAGAAATGATATGTGTGTTTTATTGAAACGACGGTTAAACCTTGAACAGAAGGGAAGGATGAATTGTCAGATTCATCGACATGGTTTACTCTGGTCATCTCTGATCAAACCGTTTGGATTTATTGGGTCAAGATGGAGATGGTGGATCTTCTCGGCGGTGTTGGGGTTCTTCATGGAGGATAAGGCAGGAGTGCCTCTTCTCCACATCCGGTCTAGAAACCCTTTCTCCCTCCCTGTCGAACCCCGCCGAACCTATCCCTTCCAGCCGACACGAAGTGATCTCAGGACGTGTATGGCAACTTCCTAGACCACGTCCCGTCGGACAGCACCGACTACGATGCCTCCTGCATTTGCTGCTTGGCATCAAAGCCTTGAGATCTGAGACATATATATTGGGTTTGTCCCATAACCTGCAACAGTCGGCAAACAAGTATCACGGCCTCTACTAACCATCATCATCCACTGTTACTGTGAATAGGTTACATACGCAAGCTATAAGATATATGCATGGTCTGTCGTAGATGGAGGGAAACCTCCTCAGTCTCAACCAATGGGAGTTACTCTCTATGTATTATCTTTTTGCGCCATGCCATGCTGGGACCATTTTGACACGAACCCATTAAGTAGCACGCACGAACCATTAGCTATATAAATATTATAAGTATGTCATTGTTAGATAGGAGGTGCAATATTAGACCATGTTACAACTGTAGCCAGCCTGGATCAGAACCAGCAGGCTACAAGCTGCCAACCACCAGCGAACACTTGCCTGAGATTGATGTGAGTGCATGGCCGCTGGCACCCGGTCGAAAAGTGGGCAGACTTGGCGGCTGGCGAAGTAGCATGACGTAGCTGAGCATGAGGGCGTAGCTGCTGAACATCTCGGAATCAATTGGTTGCTTGACTTTGTTGGCTACTCCAAAGCGGTGCTCAAGTCTTGGATCAGGCCCTTTGTTTGGTTTGGTGGGTTCATCGTATCCCTGTTGGGTCAGTTTTGACTGCCAGGAGCCTCAGAAAGAGATTCTGGTGGTCAATGAGGCAGGAACATGCAGGAACGACTCTCGACATTCCTTTGTTGGTTCTATTTTTGTAGAGGTTTTCAGGACCCGCTGGCTCCGTTTCAGTGCATACATGCATCATCATGCATCCCTGGCTCAAGATGCAAACATGTCGGCCGACCGGAGTCTCCAGCCTTTTGTCACATCCATTGACATTGACGGAGGAAACACCTCCGTCAACCGAGCCAATCCATGGGCCTCATGGGTGAAACTTCTGCAAGACTGCAGTGGTCCCTGTGAGATTTTCACACGTAACATATCGTCCATAGTTGCACAATCCACTTTCAACCACCTTTTGGGGTCTGTGCCATC